TAGTCAGTGCTGCATTTTCAAACTGTCAGGTGCGGTATTGCAAAAGTGGATCTCCTGACAAGTCAGCAACACTTGTTTCTTTTAGTTTTAAGGCAGCTGTCCTCAGGCAAGGCTCTCTATTTCAGTATCGCAGGACCTTAATTTTAGGGTTTTTCTTCCTCACCCTCAGAACACACTAATTATTTCCATTTGTTCTTATTGGTGGATATTTGGATCAGAGCCCAATTATCCAAATCCCTATTCTAGACAGATACATGAATGGGCAGGGAGCAGAGGGATACAGATCCTTGGAAAATAGGCAACAGGTTTAGGTAGAGGATCTGGATCGGTGCAGGCTTGGAGGGCCGAATGGCCTGTTCCTGAGCTGAACTTTTGTTCTATCCAAACAATTATGCCCTCATGGAGATAAAGGACCCAAAAATCACAAACATGTGATTAATGTCAAGACCAAAAGGATGTTTTATGTGCAAGGCAATTAAAAGAAAACACTAGCTGCAGACTGGTTCCACACATTATGGGAATCTGGAACTCACTGCCTGCAAGGGTGGTAGAGGCAGAAACTCTCAATGTTATGTTGTATTTATGTGCACTTGTGACACCAAGGCATACAAAGATTACAGGCTAAGTGCTGGAAAATGCAATGAGAATAGTTAAGCACTTGTTTTTGATGAGCAGACTCATTAGGCCTTTTTCTGTGGCTCTGAAACATGGATTATCTTTCATGCCCATAGCTATACTGCCTAAAAAGTCCAATTTAAATTACTAAAACTGAAACCCATACAAATCAGATAGTACAACATTAAGTCAATTCTTCAATTATTATTCCAGATGGGAAGATGAGCTAAACATACCAATGGTGGGTATTGTGGTAACAATTTCACCAAGCTTCAATTTGTACAGAATGGTGGTCTTTCCAGCAGCATCCAGACCAACCATGAGAATTCGCATTTCTTTTGTCGAAAACAAGTAGTTTTTAAGAGACATCAAGATTCCCATGGTTAATCAATTGTTTTCCTTCACTGATTATAAAGACGTAGAAACTTCCTGATAGGAGGTCTACCTCCTGTAGACAGAGGGGGGAAAAAAAAGAAAAGAGATTAATATAGTGATTGGATCACTGAAGCCTCCAAAAACACCAATTTGAAAAAGAATACCCACTAACTCTTAAGCACCATCTTACACTCCAACATAAAACAGGAGCAGGCCATTTGGCTACTCAAGCCTGACCTGTCATTCAACAAGGTCACGGGTGACTGCCCCAAGTTTCAACTCTCATGCAAGCCATCAGCCTTTAATTCACACTTAAAAGTCTATCCACTACCTCCAAAGTACTGTGATTAGTCTTCACAACAGTCTGAAATTCTCTATACCGTTCACAAAAATTCCTTTTCCATCTGGGTTTTAAATATCTCCATATTTTTCAATTGTGCCCCCTAATTCAAGATTCCCTCACTGGTGAGGGAATTTTAACATCTACCCGGTCAAGTGTCCTCAATCTATTACAAGATCACCTCATTTTCCTAAACTCCAATGAGGGAAGGCCTAATCTGTGCAGTCATTCCCGAGAAGTCACATCTTCATCCCAGGAAACAGATTAGTGAATCTCTTGAAAAGCCCCCACTGCCAGAATATCCTGTCAAAATATGGGGATCAAACTTAACTTACTACTCCAGGTGCAGCCCCACCAACACCCTGTACAATTTAGCAACACCCTAACAATAAGTGGCCAAATTCAACTGACCTTAATTACTTGCCACATATATCCGCTGTTTCTTGTGCAAGAACACCCAGATCCCTTTGTGCTGCACTGAATCTATTTAAATAAACAGCAAACTTTTGATTCTTCCTTCCAAAGTACATCACTCCACACTTCCCTACATAAATGCCATCTGCCAATTTTGTCCGCTCATTCAACCTATCTACATCCCCTTGCAGGTTCCTCACATCCTCAACATTACATACCCTTCCACCTACCTTTAAATACCAAATTTAAATGCTTTACATTTTGCTAAGTCATTAACATAGATACAGTCATACAGCATGGAAACAGACCCTTCAGTCCAACTGGTCCATACTGACCATGTTCCTAAACCAACTAGTCCCACTTTTTCCAAAGGAGGGTCTAGGCCCGAAACGTCAGCTTTCCTGCTCGGCCTGCTGTGTTCATCCAGCTCTACACCTGGTTATCTCATTCGCCAGCATCTGCAGTTCCTACCATCTCTAGTCCCACTTGCCTGGGTTTGGCCCATATCCACCCAAACCTTCCCTATTTGAGTACTTATCCAAAAAAACATCTTTTAAATGTTGTAACTGTACCTGCATCCACCACTTCCTCTAGCAGTTCATTCCACACGAAACACTAAAAAGGCTGCTCTGCAGCCCTTTTTAAATCCTTCTCTTAACCTTAAGAACATACCTAGTTTTGAACTTCTGCACCCTACAAAACAGACCCTTGCTATTCACTACCTAGGCCCCTCATGATTTTATAAGCCTCTATAAAGGTGACCCCTCAACCGCCTACACTCCAGGGGGAAGTCCAAGCCTATCTTTACAACTCAAACCTTTAACTCCCAACAACATCCTGCTAAGTCTTTCTGAACCCTCTCCAATTACTAACTATCCTTCCTGTAGAAGGACAAGCTGAACTATGCACAGTACTCCAGAAGAGGCCTCAGTGTCTTATACAACCTCAACATGACTGCTCAGTCCTTTTGGAATACAGGAGTTTGGCTACGAAGGCAAGCATGCGAAACACCACCCTGCCTACCCGTGATGCAAATTTCAAAGCATTACATACCTGAACCCCTAGGTCTGTTCTACAACACTACCCAGGGCCCTACCATTAATTGCATTAGTCCTGCCCTTGTTTGTTTTACTAAAATTAAACTCCATCTGCCATGCCTCAGCCCATTGACAATTATAGAGTCAGTCATCCAGCACAGAAACAGACCCTTTGATCCAACCAATCCATGTCAACCATAACAAACTAACCCAGTCCCACTTGCCTGCAAGTGACCCATATCCCTCCAAATATTTCTTACAGTCACCTGTACAGCAGAAACAGACCCCTTGGTCCAACTCAATGGCAGCCAGATATCCTAAATTAATCTAGTCCCATTTGACCCATATTCCTCTAAACCTTCCATATTCATATGCCCATCCAGATGCCTTTTAATGTTGCAATTCTACCAGCCTCCACCACTTCCTCTGGCAGCTGATTCCATACACTCACCACCCTCTGCATGAAAAGGTTTTCCCCTCACATCTGAAAGCTATGCCCTCTAGTTTTGGACTCCCCAACCCCAGGGAAAGACCTTGCCTATTCACGCTACTCACGTCCCTCAATTTTTAAATTTTCTATAAAGGTCACCACTCAGCCTCTGACACTCCAAGGAAAGTAGCCCCAGCCTATTCAGCCTCAAATCCTCCAATCCTGGCAACATTCTTGTAAGTCTTTTCTGAACCCTTTCAAGTTTCACAATACCCTTCCTTTGGCAGGGAGACTAGAATTTCACACAGTATTCCAATAGTGGCCAAACCAACATCCTGTACAGCAGCAAAATGACCTCCCAACTCCTATACTCAATGCACTGAGAATAAAGGCAATCATACCAAACAACTCCTTTGCTACCCTGTCTATCTGCGACTTCATTTTCAAGGAACCACGAACCTGC